AATAGAACGGCAAAAGAAAACATGCAACAGAAATAAATGAAAAATATGCCCAACACTAGAAGTAAAACAAAAATAATGTATTGCTTATAATGTGACAAATAAACCAGAAATAATAAAAACCGACAGTGAGGAATCATTTGAATTAGGATTTTCCCACCAACAAACACGCCCGATACGCGTGAACTCAAAATGAATTAAAATGTCAGGGGTTAAACTGCGTAAAATGATTTCCGGTCTCGACAAATTACGAATCAACCGTCATACAAGATCAATAATAATTTACAAATTTACACAGTAAAAAGTATAAAAATTCATAGCTGTTTGAAAAAACTTCTCAGATCTTTATTTGTACGTTCATTGCCATCTTCGTCAAACTCAAAACCCTCAAAGTCCAAGTCGCGTCACTGTAGCCGTCAAACAAAACCCCACAACTTATTCCTGCAGTTCGTCGATATCGTCTCACACAATTTGGACTTAGCACTTTTAATCCACGGATTTCGCAGTCTGTCAGCTTGGCACTTTTCATTCATGTCTAATCATAATAAAGAGACAAGAAAAATGGGGTCGCTCTGCTGCGATGGCACAAGATGCTTTTGTTTACAGTCTAGCAATCATCTTTGACCTTTATGCATCTGCTTTACTGATTGGCTAAGAATGACATCACTACTAGTATTTCATCATAAAGGTCAAATCGTGACATTGCTTATTAATCACGATGAAAGTTATCATTCAGCAAGTATCGGCGGTTGAAATGTCTCACTATATGGATATCACGGTGGACTTGAAATAGGAAGTTTTTTTTTATCCAACGACAGAAGAATAGTTTTCATGACAGAAATGCAATAGCGGTGATGAAAGATGTTAAAAAAGTTGGCAGTCTTCGGCGTGACATTGCAAAATTGTTGACCCCACTTATGGATTCGCAAGCTGCTACAAAATATTTTATAAAGCCAAAATAACGTGATTTCAACCATTCTCCCAGGTACGGGTTGCTACAATATTGCAACATTGGTTTCATTGTCGACGGCACTAAAGCCAACAAGTGCGACACTTGCTTAGCGGCTCTCCTTATACGATTTGCCGGAACCGTTTCTAAAGAAGCACAAACCAAACGGCCGGCCATTTTTAGGGCCATGACATTTCAAAAAGGGAACTACCGACTTGCTGACTGTTATGATTCAGAACGCGCTGCCCTGAAGGCAGAAAGCTGTCACAGCTATTTTGCGTTCACCCCTTGTTTTATGCAATGAACAATTTCTATAAGTATCACCCGGATAAGTACGGTATACAGTGTATTCAACATGACTGAGCACCCCTTCCCCACATTATTAGTTTGACATTGGTTTGACCCAACCTGTTCTAAACAATCTGCAAGCGTGACAACTTTGCTGGCAATGTTGCCATTTTGGTGTTCGGAACAAGAAGGCATTAACAGTAAGGATATTGTTGCAGTCATGAAGACAAAAATTTGCTGAAGTCATTCATACTTTGTGTTGTAGAGAAATATCCTTTTTTTATTCCAGGCACAACTTATGCCATCTCCACGACTTCTTTTACCAAGAACATGAAAAATGTTTTTGAATACTCATTTACATAAGAGATCAAGTGAATAGTTCCTGGTACTACAAAAAATTTACTTGAGACAAGTTCTAAGATACCTTTTAAAATCGTAGCTAGACATTGTATCATAACAAATTATGTCTGATGACTGATTTTTGTTTCATTGTACAGCCTTGGGCACATACTATTCTGAATGGTTTATGTTACACAACTTGGTCATCTCATCAGAAAAGTACAATCAAATGTTTCATAAACAAAACAAAAATAACAATATTGTTGTGTCTCTTACTTTATATCTCCATACTCAATGCAAGGAATTTTTAAGATGGGTGGAGTATGGGAACTAAAAAAATCCAATACTTTATTTTTGCTTGCGGAATTTTGAAGCAAAACTTAGGTTGTGGAAAACAAGAAATTGGTGAGCAAACATAACACTGCTCCATCTCTTTTTATCTTGTGGTAATATATTGTACCATGTCTACAGGAAAGCATACAAGTGCCTGTCATTACAAGAACTTTTTACTGATTTTGTGTATATCTCCCCACACCAGGAGAAGGTACCCAAAATAGTATTATTTAAATTAATTAACATTCCTGTTCGTGTGATTGTGTTGTGAAATGAGATACATTGTATAATGAATCTCCACAGGTACATGTCGCAGTAAAAACCTTTCATCTGTACCACTAAGATTTAAATAAACAGAGTTTGAGTTTCAGAGTTGAGAGTTAACCTGTTTCCAAGGACAAAGTTTATAAAATGACCTTAGTATTGGAATAACATAGGGAGTATCAAAGAGCACTAATGCGCACTCATTCTGCATCAAGGCAAATGTCTTTCATGCCTTCATGAAGTGCAAAGGCTGAATAAATATGTAAAATAAATTAAAGAAATATATTGATGATAATAATGAAAAATTTCTGCCCAAAAATGTTTAGCTCATGTCATATTTAAACTGTAGAGGGCGTTTTTCACGTGTACGATATGACATCCTCAATGATGAAGGACGTTTGCAACTGAATATGCCTTCTTTTGGATTGTTTCCTGGCTCGAATGGTACCAATGTTATTTTCAATGGGGTCTTATATAATCCATGATATCCTCAATACAAATCGTGTGAATGTAGTCTATTGAAATGAGATATTAAACGACCGTAATATCGACTGAACGGGGCATTGAAAAACTTTGTAACGCATAACGGCGTGCAAAATAAACGCCGTCAAAGAACCGAGTGGTCCCTCACTCGTAGCCCTTCCACTCCTGTCAAAATACGGAATGATCCATCGACTTACCCAGCCTGGACGTTCGTCTGGGTTTCTTGGTAGCTCCAGTTGTAATTCTTTCATGGCAGATTTTGATAAAATCGCTGAAACAGGATTGGAAAAACTTCAGGTCACACGCTCATACTAAAAAAAGACAGCTTCCTTCCCAGCGTGCATTGTGACAGCGATACTGCGCAGTCGCAGTAACTCGGTCCACGAGCTTTGCAATTCACTGTGGGAATTTAGTCGATGAGGTTGAAATATCACCTCGATTGTCGGTGATTTTAAACTTGAAAGTGCAGTATACCGTTGCGTATATATAGCCAGACATTCTAAGGACCGGTCTGTGCAGAATTTTGCGAAATGGCGTCTGTTTCTTACCATATCTCCAATCTTTTGGAGAAGGTACGTAAGTTTGACATGATGTTATGTAGGCTGCCATTTTGTTTTCGTTTCATTGATAGGCTATTTACAATGTCGTATACACTAGTTTTAAAATATATGAAGTTTGCACGTCAGATTTTCAACAAACGCGATTGTTTCGTAGTTCGTTTAAAGTGATATCCTATGATGTTTTGAAAGAATGACAGCACCGGGAATGATTGCAAAATGAAAATTTAATAATATAATGAGTCTGAGGTGTCAGTTCTTGAACGAACGAGTCAAAAGTTCATATTTTTGCGCGAATGATTTCTTCCCGTTCTCAGCACCTCACGAATTTCAATTTCAAAACAATTTACTAGTATCTCTCATTCACACGAAATCTGCATCTTTCTATTCTAATATTAATCTTCATTTGTTGATTTGATTTCTAAAAATAAAAGAATATTTCTCAGAAACGTAATGATACAGATAACTCCAGTCTGTGTTTCCCATAATTTTCTAATTAATATTATTACCAAAATACTACAAAGTATACACGAAGGCAGTATGGTGATCGTATTTACCACCACGTAGCGAAGATGGTTGAGTTAACATACTGCCTGATTGCATACTTTGAGATATTCCTGTAATAACTTTATTATTATATATCTTTTCTTTGGTTGTAGTAATAAATTGCAATGAAGAAAGTTTTGTGCTATACAAATATTTGCATCACTGACAGGATTCTATTTCCATCACGCGCTGATAAAGCTTCCATGTCTGAAGTAAACAAAAGAAATTATTTAAATTTGACATAAACATAAAGTTAAAAATAAATTTACCAATATTGGACCTTTTTTTTTTAACTTGCTCTTGTTTCAGATGACATCCAGTGATAAGGATTTTCGTTTCATGGCTACCAATGATTTGATGTGCGAGTTACAAAAAGATTCAATTAAACTTGATGATGACAGTGAAAGAAAGGTAAAGTGCTCACTCTAGTTCAAGAATTTCAAATAATATAACATTTTCTTAGTGGGGTTATCTTTTTATGATACACTGAAGTGAAATACAATGCCACATATAATATAATATGAATTTTTTTTTCTTGAATTTAATCATAAAAGTAGGTGGTTTTTCTCACACATAAGCGTTTACCACTGCCAGACTTAGGCTGAGCTCCTATACTTTTGTTAAGGTCCATAATAAGTCAACATATGCCTTTAATTAAAGTACTGCTCCTCAATCCCTGGAATTGCACCATGGAATCGTGGGATACTATTGTTCTTGTTGTTTAAACAAGTAATTCGGCTTTTATTTCCCATTGTCATTTCAATTTCAGTAAAAGAAATTAACGGAAAATTAATCCTATTAACAATCCAGTGCTTTAACAAATTTGGACTTAATAAAAAAAATAGGATTGACCTTTTGTCCATTACTTGCTGCTGTTCTTGTCTTCAAACAGATATCTCCTGGTGAGGGTTCCTTAAGGCCCCCTCACCCATAATGCTAATCCTGACCTTGCCCCCTCAGTGCCCCTCCTTAATTGCATATATGCTCCTCTTCAGGACACCTGTACAAAATGTAGTTATCTGAAGGGGCATATATAACTTCATTGGAGGATTTGAAGTGTTAAGTTTAGAGTTTAGGTTAAGGGTCTTTCCACTTATACAAAACTTTTGGAAGTAGGTGGAGTGTTAGGATTCAGGTGAGGGATAGGAGGAACTTTTTCCAACTTCCAAATATTGCGACCTAATTTAAATATTGTATAAACAAGATATATTTTTCACCTGAAACTTTTTTTTGAACTATTACCATATGAGTGATTGTCTGTCGGCGTTCGTCATTCGTCGTCCGTGTCAACTTTATACTTTTTCGACTTCTTCTTGAAAACTACAATTCTTATTGCTTTGATCCTTGGTGTACATGTACCTTGAACAGACCTCTCTCAGATTTGTTCATTTCGTGATGATATCTTCAATTCTCTAATTTTGATTAATATTTTTGTCATTTTTGGTAAAAAGTGGTGTTTTCAAATTCTTGTTAAAAAACTGATTGTAGATACCCCAGATTCACCTCTCTCAGATTTGTTTATTGTATTAATGATATCTTCAGTTCTATAATTGAAATGTGCATTGCTAACAGCGAGAGGCTGCTTGTTTTACTGTGATACAAACTGATTGCCTTTACTGGTATTAGAGTATGCAGAATGCAATTTTTCCATAATGAATCTTTCAATTAGTTTTGCTTGATATACTTGCAGCAGCATAGACCAGCATTAGTGCACTGTGAATGGCTGTGAAGATAGGCTCTTTCAATTTACACAAAGAATACTTCTTTTAAATTGTACAGGTGGTTAAGATGTTGCTGAAGTTGCTTGAAGATAAGAATGGTGAAGTACAAAATCTAGCTGTCAAATGGTATGAAAAATAACAGTAATAATGTAAAGTACCTCTATATAAAGATCTGCATATAGTGACCACTTTTAGGTAGTCCCAAGGTGTAATGTATAAGCAACCTTTGTTTACATTTGGTCTTATGTAACCACCTTTACAGCAATATTTTTGAAAATGTTTGCCTTTGTTAAAAAACCAAAATATTAATTAGCATTTCGTTTATAAAACAATTTTAAATTTTTCCCCAAGTCAAACTTATTTAATTTTGATCAGCTCTAATAAATGTGTTTTTGCACCATCTCGTTATTTCCTGAACAAATATAATAATATAACAGCTTGACTGTATTACCTTTCTAAAGTTCACTGGAATATTGAGATATCAATTTAATATTTGTTTTCTGTGAATTTTAGACAATTGTCACAGCAAAGTTTAAAGCAGTGCAGCCATTTAAAACTTTACTGTACTCGCACCTTATGTCAAGACAAATTCTTTGAGATAAATAAGTACTTCTGACATCCAATTCTGAATCCTCGTTTCCCACCATTCTTCATATTGAAAATTGTTTACAACTTTGTGAGTTACATGCTAGTTAAAAGTTAACAATGTAACACATCCAACGTGTATAGCATGTGTCTTCATAATATTTGAACACAAATTTTCTTTTGCTTGCATTGTATAAGTCCCATGAAAACCATATTGAACATGACTCTATGACATCTGTGGGGGTTTTTAACTTTTTCATTGTTATTACTTTTCTCTGTAGCCTTGGACCTCTGGTGAGCAAAGTCAAGGAATACCAGGTTGAAACCATAGTTGATACATTATGTAGTAATATGTTGTCAGATAAAGAACAACTTAGAGATATTTCCAGCATAGGTAAGTTATTTTTAGCCATTCAAATTAATACAGTGTCATGCTAGGGAACAATTGCTGTTCAGTTCAAGGAGGTCAAAGGGTCAAATCAGTATCAGCTTAATTTTCCATGAATATATTGTTAACTATGGAGTTACGGTTGCAACACCTTTTCTGATTATTCCCTGGGCACACATCCAGGCATTTTTATTGCCTGGCAACCATCACGGTAAAAACAAAGGCCAAAAACTTTTAGAAAACTGTACTTGTTGAGGCTCCCCTGAAAAGTGTAACAAGATTACCTCTACATGTGCAACATTATATAAATTTGGTTGATCAGGATTACCAACATTCTAATCAGTGTTGTATATTCTTCTAGGTTTGAAGACTGTTATTAATGAACTTCCACCGGCCTCGTCTCCCTTGGCTGGTAACATATGCAAACGTATTACTGGAAGATTGACCAGTGCTATAGCTAAGGTAATGTAATGATGTCATCAGGTCCTGTGTGTGGCCTTGAAACATAAATGTCATCATTTTTTTGTGCATGCTTATACATATATTCGTTTATTGATAGAAAGGCATGACACATGTATGTCAGTTTATTATTTGATCTGTTGTTTTCTGACTGACTAGTACCGTACTTATCCGGGTAAGAGCCCATGCCTGGACAAACACCCACCCCCCACTTTTGACACAATAAAGGAGTTGAGGTCACGCCCAGGGGTCTTTTTCTACACAAAACAAAAAACTGATAAATATTCGTTGACTGTGGTTGTATTAACAGTTGACTTTCTTGAAGTCTGTTGTGATACTTATAAAAATTGTTAATTGCGTAAAACAAGGGGTGAAAGCAAAATAGCTGTGACAGCTTTCTGCCTTCAGGGCAGCGCGTTCACCGCTGTTTTTTTTCAGAATCATAACAGTCAGCAAGTCTATAAAAATAAATATTAAAGCAGAAACGGTAGTTCTCTTTTTGAAATATATCGTGGCCCTAAAAAGGGCCGGCCGTTTGGTTGGTACGTCCATGGTTTGTGCTTCCTTAGAAACGATTCAAGCAAATCGCATAAGGAGAGCCGCTAAGCAAGTGTCGCACTTGTTCGGCTTTATAGTGTCGTCGACAATGAAAAC